CCGAAATATCAATTTTGATATTTCAATTTTAATTTCAAGTTTGATCAATAAAATAAAATAAAAGGTTTATACTATGTTGTACTATGTTTGTACTATGAAGCTTTATGTAAAAAATGACTAATATCTATCAAAATAATTATCCAATACTACCATCTATACCAATAACAGAATACCAATATGCCAATAATATAACTTGATAATCATACTGAGAAAATAAATAATGACTACCTAAAGATAAGTTTACTATTTCTAAATCTTGTCAACACAATACTTGCAAAGTAGAACTGGAGACTCCTTTAATCAATACAGTACAGAATTGAGAAATCAGATGAAGTCAACAAACTTAAAGAAAAAAATGCTACACTTAAACAAAGTAAAAATGTTTTGTACCAAAAATCTAACATCAGAATAACGAATAAACTTTTCAGGCTGATCTCGAACTATGTTTATGTGGTTCTTTGTCAGAACTAAAACTTGCATTACAAAATTTCACTTGCGATTATTGTTAGAGCACCTTCTTTTAATTGTACTTTTAAAGTTAAAACTAAGTTTATTAAATAATGATTTGAATTTATTGATTTGAACTAAACACTGCAATAGTTTTAAAATTTTTTAGAATAATAAATACTGATTTCCTTATATAAATTAAATATTGGTATAACATCAGCTGTTGCAATTAGTTTTTATCTTATGGTCGGGGTGGTTGTGTATCAGATAAACAGATAATTATTAAGTCAAAATTTTATCAGAAACTTGAACTTGGTAACTGTTGTACTTGCTGACACAGAAATCAATATTAAAGATGAACTAAATGATGTTAGGGCAAAAATTGTGTATAACTAAATAAATTGTTACCTGGAGGCAAAGAAGATACATCTAGACAGCTATCTAATGTTTGTAGACATGTGGAAAAAGTAATTGGATGAATAAAAAAATTCTGCATCATTTTTAATTGTTAAAACAAAGCTCTTTTACCTTTAGTTACAGGAATGAACACAAGTGATGAGCCTCAAAATAATAAAAATCCTTCTTATCTTTCCAACCTGCAAAACCATATTGATATTTATAAAAACATGCAGCTATCATGATAATAAAATTTTTAAATTTTATTATGACGATAGCTGCATATAATACTATCTGGAGAAAATATCATGCAAATTATATAAACCCATCTGGAATTCTCCAATAAATGGGTATTGTTCTTTTACATAAAAACCAGTATCTAAAACCTGAAAGTTATATAACCACTTATTACTTTATTAATATAATTTTTTTTTTTGCAAATGATTCTATTTCTGTTCCATACTATGCGTATTTCTGTCCCATATCATGTGTATTTTTGTTCCATATTATACGTATTTCTGTTCCATATTATGTGTATTGATTAATGGAATTTTTTGCATAATGCATTAGTTTCTTAATCAATGATTCACTTGATGAATAGTTTATGTTAAAATATATTCTTATGATACATTTGCATTTGAGATTGTTATATGCCCTGCATGGAGCATCATTCTAACAGGATTTAATGATTGTGTTTTTGTTTGGCTGCATAGCTTATAGCATAGATTATTCTTGTTTATATAATAATTTTTTCATAATCACTTTTGCACAGAACTATCAGTTCCTGTTTATATAAGTTTATACTTGTTTGATCAAATATTGATGTGAAAGTTTCAGAAAGTGTTTTGCTGTTTCAGACAAAGTATCAGCAACATTAGAGTCATATCCAACAGTGATAAATTCTGAAAGATTTATACTCATAAAAATTGCTGATTTCAATTCGCAGATTCGCAGTTCTTTTATCTCTTTAACTTAACCAGTGGTTACCATCACTTGGGTTTTGAATGGAGTTCATATCACTTGGAGTTTGAATTGAGTTCACATCACTTGGAGTTTGAATGGAGTTCACATTACTTGGAGTTTGAATGAAGAATGGAGTTTGGATGGATTTTTTTCAAAGTTACATTTCTTAAACAAATCTTCTATTAATTTTTTTTTGTTTTTTTTGAACTCGATAAAACATAATTTCTTTTCTATTCAATATTTTGTTATAAAAAATTTTTTGTATATACTTGGCCACTAATGAAACAATCGTAAGATTTCAAGTATTTATAGGCTCTGATTGATTCTTTTGTGTACATGCTAGGTGTATAAATTAAATATTGAGAAACACCTTGCCATGTAATATTTGGCAAGTGATTGACAATGTTGCTCCATTCATTTAGTTCAATTGTAAACGGATATGGTAAAACATTCCAATTTTTTGAGTTAGCTTCCTTGTATAGTTTACTACTTTTTCTAATTTTAGACACCTAAAATATTTACTCACTGACATTTTTATCAGTTTATTATTATCAAAAATTTTGAGTTATAGTTGACTTCTAAAAGCATCTGAATTTAAAATTCGCAAAAGATTATATATTTGAAAGTTTCAAATATATAATATATTTAGTAATACACAACTGTAACCAACATTATAAACACAAAAATTTAACTAAGGATAGAAAATTAAAGAAAAAATTGCTAGAAAAGTAAATGTGTATTTATAACTTTCTTTTGTATAATTGTATAATTACACATGCATGTTGTTTACAAAAAGATGTGACGTTGCATGGAAAGTTGCTTATTCAGAACTATTTACATCTTTTGAAACAGATTTAATAAAGTAACATGAAAATAAAATGCAAGAAAAAAAAAAAAAAAAACTTCACATTTGTAAAGTTGTACCAAAAATTAATATAATATTATACTCAACAATTAATAGATTACAATATTTTTTAATACTTATAATAATTTATATTACTATAATTTGGATGAACATTTTTTTGAAGGTGATTGTTTATTTAGTAATACATAACTGTAACCAACATTATAAACACAGCCCACAAAATTTAGGTCAACATTCGGCAATGCCAACTCAAAAGCCGATATAACTTGGCTTTACTATGGCATACAACTGCCGACCTGAATTTCTAAAAGTGCAGGCATGCAAAAATAAATATATGTAAAAAATATATAATATTCATTGAATAGGAGTACATAATTTAATTACTGTAATTATTTGTTTTTTAAGTTTTAAGACAAGTTTTATTTAAAAAAAAACTTTTATTAATTCATTTTTTGACAACTTTTTTGTTAAGTTTTAAAATCTAACATTTATTTTATTAGGTAAAATTGTTTGTTTTCATGTTTACAGCTATTTTAATATTATTTAAAATCAGAAAGTTTATTACAAAAGTTTAGTCTTAGTATAATCACGTTATTATGAAAACATGTAGAGAAAAAAAAAATTGTTTAAAAACATAGTCAAGTAATATCTTGAACTTCCTTTAAATTTAAAATAAGTTAAGGTTTTGTTTTTAGAACAATCAAAAATAAGAAACGCTACAGTCTTATAAGCAATGGCTTACCACATTGCAGTAAGCACAAAGGCAGTTTTTTTGATTATGCAATAAAAAGCAACATTGAATCGCATACATTTTTTCTTGATGAAAATTGGCTTGCAATAAATCATTAGCAGGCTAACCCTGATGCAAAAAACCCCATCGCAACTAAACTAAATATTGGAATCATAACCCTCGATTCCTTACCTAAAAATATTAAAACTCAACAGAAATAAGTATCTAAATGACATACTATGTCAATACCTAATTACGATGCCAAAAAAATGGTTCTTTAGTGTCAAATGACAATTCTTTTGAGTTCCAGTTTATTTTTAGGCTTACTATCAAAGCAGCATAATTGAATTGCAGTAACACCAGTGCTTACAGTGTTGCAAAAAGAACTGAACAACTCATAATACACCTAACAGAACTGTTATTGAAAAATAAGGGTTTAAATCCTAAGGCTTTCAAACAAATGATTTCAGAGAAGTGACTTTAATTTGGTATAAATAAGATATTTAAAAATAAAATTAGACTATTCTGAGCTTTTAAAAATTGTCACTAGTGATAAAAACCTTTTCAGACCATATTTTATTTTCTCATACACATGCAGCATAATGTATACATACGTCTTAAGATTGAGCGAAGCTAAGAAGATAACTCTTTATATTATCATTTCCAAAAAAGAAAGTGCTGCGGAATCCCCCAATAGTGTTAAAGTCCAAAGAACCCTGGAACCTTATAATAATGATGGACATTAAACACATTCTGTATTCAATTCTTAAAATTTATATATATATATATATATATATATATATATATATATATATATATATATATATATATATATATACACATAAAGTTTAATTGCTACATTCCTTAAATAATTATTGTTTAAAGTAGAGGTATACCGGAACCAGAAAATCCCTGATTCCAGGTACCAAGTGGTAAAAAAACCATTGATTTCTTATTCGACTTCCTAAACTTCATTGGGAAAAAATTCAGTTGAAAATCGTCTATTTTGGTTAAAAGGTTGTTGTTTTCAATGTTTATTTATTGTAAAGGAACATTTCTCTCGCGTTCTAAGCAATAAAAAGAAGCAATTACTAGTTATTTATCTTTCTTTTTATTTTTTTCATATTCTCATATAATTTCGTTTTACTTTACGGTTTTTATATCTGTATAAATCAGTTACTTTTTTGCAATATTAACTGCTATCAACATTTTACAATATAATATACCAAAAATATATTTGAAAACGTAATTTAAGTGAGATACGTCTTGATTTAGTACATAGGAATTATCAACTTCTGAAACTATCAAGAAGTTTATTGGTTGAAGCACTATTTCTTACCTGGTTAACAATATTTCTACACTATTTAAAGAAACACTAAAGTAAATAATAATAATAAAACACAAAATTTGTTTTATTATTACTATTTACTAGTTGCAACACTTTAACATTATGTCTGCTAAAAAATATTAAAAAGTAAAATCGCCAGTAAAATCGCCAAACTACTGGGTCCCCGGCACATCTCCAATTTAAAGCTATGCTCTTATAAAGCAACTTACTTAATAAACTCTATGTTATAAGATTTATTTTATAATACACACCTGAACAGCAATGACAATTTCACGCTCAAGCAACATTCTTTCTCTTTCCTGCAACTCTTGTTCTTTTGATTTTAGATGTTCTTCTAAACGTCTTTGATCAATTTCAATTTTTATAAGCTCCTCCTCACGACTTGATATTTCTTTTTCTCGCTCTTTCAATTCCTCAAATATAAGCTCTATCTCACCTTTCCATTTGTCTTGGAGTGTCCGAAATGAATCAATAGCAGTATGGGGAAAATCTGAGCGTGCAATTTTTTCTAAAGAACTAAGAATATCCGGAAATCTAGGTCGATCATGTGGATCAGGTTTCCAACAACCTATGAATAAAACTTTAACCATTTATATTATTACAAACATTTATACTATCGCAAGACATCAAAAAGCATTTTTAACCTTCCATAAGAAGAGCAAAGCCATGAGGACATGTTGCTGGAATCGGTAAGGTTAACTTATTCATGGCAACTCCATATGCCACTGCTAAGTTTTCAATGCCATGATATGGAATCTGACCAGTAAGTAACTCCCAAAGTACGACTCCATAACTAGAGAAAAATATCTAGAAAATTGATGTTGCATGTTAAATTATTATAATTGATATTGCATGTTAAATTAAACCTTTATACTGAAAATTTTCAAACATTAAAAAAAAAATTAATTTAAGATTTTTTTTTTTTTTTAATAAAATGCAGTAACAATACATGTAGTAGAGAGGTGTTTTTTGTTGTTGTTTTTGCTTTTTGTTTATTGAGATAAGAACTGTTTCCTTTAAATTTCCTTATATTCTCTATATTTTTAAAATTTAAAATTTTAAAAATATAGAGAATATAATGAATTTAAAATTTAAAGTACAAAAGTATTATTTAATGAAATAAATGAAAACTAGTTATATAAAAATGTTATAAATGAATCAACACTGCATTACAAATGATGTTGTTTCTTTGAAAACCTGAATACATCAGTTTATTACTGTTAGATCATAACGACAGTCTGTTTGAGCCATACAATTATCATTTTTAATCTAGTTAATTATAATATTATATCAAATATTCAAAAAATTAATCATACTTCACAAATAATGAATTACAAAACCATTTTAGAATTTTAATTTGACCATAAAAAAATCATAGTAATCTAATTAGTTATTAACTATTTTATCAATTCAAAAAAATCATTATTTTTGACCTAATTACTGCGTTTTTACAAAAATTTTAAATGTTTTTAATAAAATGATTATTATACTTGAAATTTTAATATAATTTTGCTTTCATTGAGGCCCATTTTATTATTTATGATATAGAAACTTTTTTTTTTCCTGGGGAGGGGGGATTAATATTAAGGACTCGTTAAATGTTAAAGGGTCAAAATACTTTTTTAATCATACAATTTTTAAACCTAGTGTTATTTGGTTATAACATTATAGGGTGCCCCAGTAAATATTTCTCACAAATGTTGATTCAAGTGATATGGTGTTTGAACTAAATGAACTAGAATTAAAGTTATATATATATATATATATATATATATATATATATATATATATATATATATATATATATATATATATATATATATATATATATATATATATATATATATATATATATATATACTTGCATATATATATATATATATATACTTGCATATATATATATATATATATATATATATATATATATATATATATATATATATATATATATATATATATATATATATATACTTGCATATATATATATACAGTCCTTGTTTTAAATAAAAAATGCCTAACGCAATAGACTAATGTGAATTTGACATAAAATTCTCTTTATATTTTCAAGATATTTTTTAATTACTGCAATAATAAAAATTATCGCAAATGTTATTTAACTTCTTTTTTATTATTACTATAAGGGAATGTTTATTTTATTTTATTTTTTTAAGTATTAAATAATTAAATTTAATATCACATTTTAAAAAATGTTTGATATTAACAAATTTATTTATTTTCTCAACATTTGCATAAATTAAAATATGTTAAGTTTTTGAATTATTAAATGAATTTCTAATTGCAGATTTGCAACTTCAAATGATTTTTTATTAAAAAAAATTAGAGTAAAAAATAAAAAAATTACGTTGATTTATTTACTTTATTTATTAAAAGTTTATTATTTTATTAATAATTTTGTTGTGAAAACAAATATTATTTTTTTCAAACATCATTTATTATAACTGTATCTCAGTATATCGCTTTTAAAAAATTAATCTCTGCGATTTATATTGCCTTATAAAAAAAATTTTACTTACATTTTGTGCAAATTTTCAATGCAGTTGTTTAAAATTTAATTTTGAGTAAACAAAAAAAAAAATGTTTAGGAAGGAAAACCGATAAGACAATTGCAATAAAAATGAGCTAATTTTTTTTTAAGAATAAATTAAATTTAAATATTGAACAATAATTATTAATATTTTTGAATAAATTTGATAGTTAAGTTAAACCCAAGCATCAACTTTAATTTTAATACACTTGAATATATCTTTTAAATCAAAATTAAATTATATATTTTTTTTATCAGTATAAATTATATATTTTTCTTAGTTTTAGATTATATTCTTATTAGTTTTAAATTATATAATTTAAATTAGATTTAGATTAAATCACATATTTTTTTATCAGAATTAAATTATATTATTATGATCTTTGCTTCAAGCTTAAATTATTATCGCTTTTCAAGCAAAAAAATCAATCATTAAAATAAAATAAAAACAAAATAAAAATAAATTTTTAACTTTATTTTAGTTTTTTTTAATAGTAAATAGTGTTTATATCCAACATAATTGTCTTTCAAACTTTTGTAACAAATATTTTTACCTAATCATCATTCAAAAGTTAATGTGGTTTTTTATAAAAATAGTTACTTTTATCATACTGCTAATAAAATAATTTAAAAGGTAAAAAATGATAAAAATTCGGTTAACCAAAATTGCTTACTGCTTACATAAAACTGCTTTAGGCATATATATATATATATATATATATATATATATATATATATATATATATATATATATATATATATATATATATATATATATATATATATATATATATATATATATATATATTCATATACAACTTTCAGAATCAGGCTTGGCATATGGTTGATGCTTTCAAAAATGGTCCAGAAAAGCCCCTGGCTATAGAGTTTAGTATGTGTTTTTCATAACTTTTTTGCTTTTTTCTTCTCCTCTTTATTGCAGAATTGCCCCCCCCCCCCAACACACACAGATATATATATATATATATATATATATATATATATATATATATATATATATATATATATATATATATAAAATAATAATATATATATATATATATATATATATATATATATATATATATATATATATATATATATATATATATATATATATATAAAGTGAATAAGCTATTTTAGATTAGAAACCAGTATAATAAAACATCATTGAAAGCTCTATCAAAGAAATTCAAAATGTTAACATCACCTCCATACATCACTTGCTTTTGAAAACATTGAGCTTCTTATAACTTCCGGGGCCATCCAAGGATATGTTCCAGCTGTACTCATCTTTGTTGTATGATTCATTTCCCTTGCTAGACCAAAGTCTGTAATTTTTAGTATACTTTTAGAAAGAGAATCTTCAATCTGGTTGATCAAGACTAACATAAAAAAAAGGTCAAAAGTGGCAAATTAATTCAAAAAAATACATTTTAGAGATATTTGTGTAAACGAAAAGAAAAAGGAAGAAATACATATAAAGGTAAACGTGTATACAAAATAGAACATTTTAATCTAAATTTAATTAAAATCATTCTTCTCCGTTTAAAATTTAATGTCAGCGCACAAATAAGTGCTGGCAGGATGGTCAATTTTAAGTCAGCCTGCGCAATTTAAAAAACTAATTTTTTTCTGCTATTTAAATTAAAATAAAAAAAACAATGCCTTAAATAAATACTTGATAATATAATTAAAAAAAAAAAAAAAACTGGCAAAAATGCCATTTTTCATAAAAGTTGAAGAAACTGACGAAAAAGTTTTGTTGCAAATTAAAAAAAAACGCATTTATTTTTTTGGCTAGTGCTCTTTTATGCGTTTGCTAAAATTTTTGTGGGCGTGTGGGTGAGCGCAAAAAAGCATGAGCGCAAAAGCGCAGAAGACTGTTAATCTCTTTATTTATTTTAACTTTTTTTTTCTAACAATATTTTTGATTCAAATTATTAAACAATTATTTAAAATTGATAAACTTACTTTGTAACTTCTTATTTACTTATTATTAACAATTGATATTAAATATTAAATTCATTTTTAAATCTAATTTTTATAAAAACGAATAAAGATATGGTAATGAAATATTTCAGAATATATTATGAACTTTGCTTTTTGAAAAAATCTATGGAATGTAGCTAAAAACAATATAATAGACACACACACACACACACATACACATATATTGACTATTGCATTATTTGTCCTTGTAAAGAATACTGTTACCACATTCAAGCTGGTTCTTCTAAAGATGCCATTTGTCTTCTAGAAAAGGTCTAAAAATGTATTGTAAATGTAGATAGACCTGCAGGCTTAAAAGCTAAATGTGAGCCTCTGCCCCATCATTGTAAGATTTCATCTCTTTCTCTTTTCTACTAACACTACCATGGTAACTGCTCAAACAAGCTATAATCTCTTGGTCCATCAACCAAAACTTATTCTTGTATGACTCATGGTTTAGCAAAGACACATACTTTTACCGCACCCATTTTTTTTTTTTTTTTTTACTTATCCATCATTTTTTACGGCACATGAATGGTTTTAAAATCTCTCCTATCTTTATGTTTTCCTGAATCATACAATCTACAGTTTTTTAAGTATTCTGTCAACTGTTTTCTTGCTCTTTATCTTTATCCTTTTTTTTCCTGTAACTTCGAACTTACATAGTGGTTGCTTGCAATATTGTTAGTAAGTTCACACAGACATATTTTGTCCAAAATGTTGAATGGTTTTTGAAATACATTAAAAAAATCTTTAACTTGAAAATTATAAAAAAAAATTTTCCAATTCAAAATTAATGAATAGTTCAAAATAGTGCACTTAAAAAGTGCATTTGTTTTATTTAAGTTTTGCAAATTTAATAATATACTATAATTAGCCACAATTAATATTATAAATGTATAATTAATAAATGTAAGTAGCTTTAAAATGTTTTGCAAAAACGGTCAAGTAGTAAAAAACATGCATCATATGTAGGATTCATATGGCATGTTAAGTTTAAAGAATGGAACACTCAACAAATATATGAATAAGGATGGGGCATGTATTCATTAAGAATATATGAGCAAAGTTATTATTAATTAAATTAGTTAAGTAACAACATAAATAATTAAGTTGCAACTGTGAGTTGAGTTGCAACATAAATTATTAAGTTGCAACCATGAGTTGAGTGGCAGTATTATAAATTATTATGTCACAACTGTGAGTTGAGCAACAATATTATAAATTATTAAGTTGCAATCATGAATTGAGAGGCAGTATTATAAATTATTAAGTTGTGACTTAAGTGGCAAAATTATAAATTATTAAGTTGCAACTTAAGTGGCAATATTATAAATTATTAAGTCACAACTTAAGTGGCAATACTATAAATTATTAAATTGCAACTTAAGTGGCAATATTATAAATTATTAAGTTGCAACTTAAGTGGCAATATTATAAATAAGATGCAGATGCAAGAAGTTGCAACTTAAGTGGCAATATTATAAATTATTAAGTTGCAATTTAAGTGGCAATATTATAAATAAGATGCAGATGCAAGAAGTTGCAACTTAAGTGGCAATACTATAAATTATTAAGTTGCAACTTAAGTGGCAATATTATAAATTATTATGTTACAACTGTGAGTTGAGCGACAATATTATAAATTATTAAGTTGCAACTTAAGTGGCAATATTATAAATTATTAAGTTGCAACTAAAGTGACAATATTATAAATTAATAAATTGCAACTTAAGTGGCAATATTATAAATTATTAAGTTGCAACTTAAGTGGCAATATTATAAATTATTATGTTACAACTGTGAGTTAAGCAACAATATTATAAATTATTAGGTTACAACTGTGAGTTGAGTTACAACATAAATAATTAAGTTGTAACTGTGTGATGAGTAACAATATTATATTTTATCAAGTTGCATCTGTAAAAAATGTTAGTAACAGACTTTAGGTATAAAAATAGCCTTTTAGGTAAAAGTTATAAGATTTTTTGAATTTTTGTGCATTCTTAAACGCCTATCCTTAAAAAAAAAAGTAGTTTTACAGCATATAAAATATTCAGTAATTAATTTTGTAAAGTATGAGGTATAAATGCTTCTGATGAATCTGTTGTTGCCGCAGTTCTTTTTAAAATGGCCAGTGATATTATATTGACACCACTAAAAACATAACATGCATGACATAAATGTATTAAAAAAATTTTTTTCATGATATGCGCAAAAAACATTGGAGTATATAAAATAACTACAAAAACCATTGCATTGGCATGAGGTATTTTGCATACTAACATTTTATTAATAAAGCAATAATCTTCCAGCATTTCCAACATTTGCGGTAGTGGTGTAGTAGTAGAGCGCTCGCTTTATAAACGAGTGGTTCCGAGTTTGATCCCCACCACGTCCCTGGTAGTACCGCGCTTAACTCGTTTCTCCGCGCAGCGGCCTTGTTTGTCAAGGTTCGTGTTTCGGAGTTATAGAGTTGAGAGAGGGTTATAGCCACAAATAAGTAGCCTCCTCCTCTGTAGTGGCCTTCTCGGCCTTGAGGAGGTGAATTTAAATTGAAAAAAAAAAAAAATTTAGTTTCTATAACTTTATTTCATATTTAAAATCATAATAATTTTTTAAAATTAAAATAATTGTTTAATATTTTTTTGTTACACAGTAAAAAATATATATTATCCCATAAACCTGCCTTTTATTCCCTTTAGAATTGTGTTATTCCCGTTAAATCTTATAATCACAAAATGTCAGAACCAATTGAATTACATACTTAATCATAATGGAAATTGAAAAAAATGAAAAAAACTAAAAAGAATCACTCTTTCTTGATGTGCTTGCCGGAGACTATTTATAAAAACAGCAAAAAATAAACTTTGAAAATATTTAAGACAGGCTCATTATTTTGGAACATCATCAAAAAAACAGGCTCATTATTTTGGAACATCATTGCGAGAGCAAAAAAGCAACCATCAAAAATTATTCAAAGTATCCGTGATAAAATTATAGAGTTATTAAAAGTATTGGTGATAAAATTATAGAATTATTAAAAGTATCGGTGATAAAATTATCGAACTATTAAAAATATCGGTGATAAAATTAAAGAGATATTAAATATTGTTTGATTTTAGGCCTTTTTAGCACTGTAATATCATGTAGAGCTAGTTGAAAAAAGTTACTAGTACCAGAAGTAATTATTTTACTAGTACCAGAAGCAATAACAGTAATATTTCAATTGTGTCAAATAATATCAGATTAGAATAAAAAAGAAGTACTCTAATAAAACGATATCATTAAACGGAGAAATCATTATAATATGTAATTTGTGAAGACAAATTGACATTCTTTTTTAATTTGCACTCCTGAGTCTAACTGTAATTTTTTTTAAATCACAGTGAAAGAAATAGCATTTATTAAGAATTATAGAAAAGTTGTAAGTAAAAAAAATATATTAAATTAAAAACAATTTTTATTTCTAATTTTTTTTTAAGCTAAAACTTTAATATTCATTTTTAACAATACATGCTGAAGAACTATTGGTATAGAATACATAAAAAATAAAACCTAAATTCTTTAGTAAAACTATATGTGAAATAACTGAAACAACTGATATTTTTTAAATTAATAATAAATAATTGATGTTAAACAAAAACATCTTGTCTATATTAAAATTAAAGCATTAAAGGTAATGAATTTTCAAATATAAGTACAAACTAGAAATTTTAATCTTGAACTTGAAGAAAAGTTGAATGTTTTTTTGCACTTATACATGTTTTAATGATGGTATGATTTTATTAAGCTGTTATCACCAATCAATTTATTAAATTTAGGTTTTAAATTTTACATTTTAGTATTATCTACTAGTATTAATATATTTTAAAATATGTTCTACGTTTTACTAGTATTAATATATTTTATACTAGTATTAATATATTTTATACTAGTATTAATATATTTTATACTAGTATTAATATATTTTATACTAGTATTAATATATTTTAAAATATGTTCTATATTTAAAATATGCTCTATTAATATATTTATAAATATGTTCTATTTTATCAAAGTTTTGAGTTTTTTTGTTTTTAAATAACATACTGACATTTGTAAAATTTGTTTTATAAATGGTTAACAGTTAAAGTTTTTTGTTTATTTGTTGTGTTTTTTTCCATTAGTCAATAGACTGTTTATATAAAATTATTTATATAAAAATAATTTATATAAAAAATACATGTTCTTAGTCACAAAACTTAAGACTTAAATTTTGTAACTAACACACTGTATATTATTAACATAAATTGTAAAATGGTTTTTGTTCTTTTAAACAAACTCACTGCTAAAAAGGCTGCAAGCAAACGCTAATCAAGTTCAGAATTAACAAAAAAACAAAGATAGTTAAAGAGCAGAGAGCCATTAAATAAAAGACTTAAAAAACTGCAAATTGTATAAACAAGGTGGCCACTTAAATTTGAAAATCAAATTCCATAACTTTTATTTGACTTTTCGTAAACTTTCATGATAAGTTACTATTTTAAAATATCCTGTGCTTGCAATGCGCTTAGCTTTTGTTACCTGTTCACTAAAAAATATGCAGACCAAAAATTATGTATTAGAAAAAATCTTCATATCTTTTTCAAAAAAGTTTTAGACATACTAATACTGTTTGTAAATATCTTAATAATATCACTAAAATATAAAAATCATTTTAAAAAGCTCCATGAATCTTCTGTGACTTTCAATCAAAATTTAAGAACTCTATGACTTCTTTCATGACCAATTGAAACTCCATGACATTTCCATGATTATTATGACCAGTGGCCATTCTGATGAATCTTGGAAACATAAAGACGGGAGAGAATTCTAAAGTGCCATTGTTTGAAAAAAAACTAGATTTTTTTTTTTTTGATAGCCCATTTAAAAAGCAATCATGGTATTATTTAAAGAAAAGAGAAAGAGTTGCAACTTCACAATATGGAGAAAAAGGCTCAAACTGGTTAGACAACATTTAAACAAATTTTTGGTCTTTGTCTTAAAGAGAGAAGACCAATAGCCCAATAATGACAACAGTATTCTCTACAAAGAATAAAATCGTGAACTAAGGAAAATCATAAAGTACAATGGAGTAATGCAATAGAGGCAGATCCTAAATTTGCAACGAATTTTATATATATTTTCCATAAGAAGACAGTGGTGAATAATAATTTGAGACTTAAAATAGAGGACTCAGTAAGAGAGTTGGCATTTATCAAAACAGGACAAAATTGACCAAAAAATCGACAAAATTGTAATAATTATTAGAAGTAAACAACTTTATGTTTGGGCAATTTGGCCATTGCAAGAAATATGTCACAGAAGAGAAATCTAATTCAAGATTGGGTGCCTGTTATAATCAATCAAAAATTGATGACTTATACAACGTTAATCATACATAACAAATATAACATTAAGGGAAACAAACATAACATTAAACAAAAAAATTGTAAAAATTTTTAAAAATTTCGGTACTTACTATTGCTTGATTTTAAATCTCTGTGAATCACTTGCAAAAAAGCTTCATTGTGTAAGTATTGCATTCCTTGAGCTATTTGCAATGCCCAATCTAATAAAACTTCAGGTGGTAATTTTTTGGATTGTAAAATTCTATTTAAAGCACCTCCTCTAGCAAATTCCATAACTAAACATAGGTTAGGAGGTTTACGACAAACAGCTAGTAAGGCAACAATATTGGGATGAGATAACATAGTAAACATTCTAGCTTCTTTTTCTACATTTGCAACAGCTACATCAGGATCATCTCCAGCATCTATCCGAGCTACTTTTACAGCACATTCTTTCTTTTCCCAAAAGGCTCTGTAAACTCTTCCAAAACCCCCTACTCCAATTAGCTGTTTCAAATCCAGCTCTTCAAAATCTATTTCAGGAATTCTACGATTGTCTATAGGTGTTCTAAAAGAACTGTGTTTTTGAATAATATTTTTATTTTGTTCTTCTAAAATAACATAATTTGCTGGAAAGACTCCCACTAGATTTTGTCCATGTCTTCGACCAACCCACCATCCATCATCGCCACTAATTTCTTTATCTTTAGAAAGTACTTCAATAACATCTCCAACTCTCAATGTAAGCTCATCTTCCTCCTTTGCATCATAAAAGTATATAGCAGTTCCATATTCAAATTTATCTGGATTAACAGAATCAGCGTTATCCTTCCGCATCATTTGAATAAACTCTTTCTTGTTAAAACAAAATTTGATCACTGTAAGGAGTTTTATATGTCAGCACCTCAAATCTTATATCCATGAACAGACAAATCTTTATATTTTACTTTTTATAAAATTTTTTGCACAACAAAACTATTGATTACATCCAAGAGGCTTTTATTTTCTCTGATTTAACGAGAATTTTTTTTTTAAGTAGTAACTATATTCATATTTAGTCTAGTCCACTTCAGAAGAGTGTTTGCGTATCTTTTTAACAAAAACAATTTATACTTTATGGAATAATAACTATAATTTAACTATATATTATAACTAATATTGTCAATATATTTTTTATTTATCTATATATATACTATATATATATAGAAAATAATGAATTATACGCAACAATCATAACCAAATATTGGAAACAACTTTGAACTCGTTTTATATAAAACTTTCGGCACAATACAATTGATTGAAATATTTTTCGTGTGAATGTTTTCATCATGAGAATTCGAAGATTTGTTTGTACAAAAATGGCCATTACGAACGGAGATAATCAGAGAGAAAAGAACTAATTTGCTTTTTGTTTATCTCCCTAAGAGTAAGCTAAGAAAAATTTATTCGAATAGGCCACAAGCATAAAATCTCTACAGCTACATTTTTTCAAAAAGGGTCCTACGGTTTTAAATAATAAAAACTAATTATCTTCAGTGTCCTATTTTTTCAATCTCTTAAAATGTCCTAGCTATTTTATTTTAAATATGAGTTTTAACTGATACCTTTAGATAATAAAACAAAGAATCAAAGCATCAGTTAAAATTTATTAAATTAAATTTTATGTTTAATACTTTTTTATCACGAACAAATAACTTAAGACCACACGATATTTTTTTAAAAATTCTAAGAATGAATTGATTTTTCGAGAAAATTTTTTGAGAATTTTTGAGAAATTGATTTTTTGAGAAAAAATCTAAAATTGTTGCCCCAAAGAGCACAATACTTTAGACTAATGTTGGGGCAACGTTCCTCTATCGCTTTCGACAATGTTCTGACTTTGGCCTAAAGTAGTGTTTGATTCGAGTATGAGTCCCGTACAAGAACTCGCTTTAATTTGAGATAAGTAACTTTCATCCAGAGACAACGAAATTTACAAGGGTCCTTATAGTAATACAAAAAAATAGTTTTAAACAACACTGAAAAAGTTGCCTTTATTTCTACCTGAGAGTCTAGGCCTAGTTTAATAAGAAGTTAGTTTACCATTAATGATATTTTTAATTACCTTTTGTGCAGCCTTTCTGATATAACTTAAATTTGGAACGTTAAAATGGTTTTAAATTTTATATTTAGCTGGGAGGAAGGCACTTTATTTCAAACAAAATTTGCATGTATTTGTCTGAACTCACATGTATTTATCCATCATGAGTTATAGAAAATCTCATGAGTCAATAAGTTTTTTTTCCGGACAAATATAGATTTCATAAGCTATAGTGAGAGTTGATCAGTACTTATAACAATTTACCACTAATGCATAAATTACATTTCAGATAGATGTATTGTACAAACTTTGTGTACAATCGCAATTGGTTTTAAATTGGTTTTTTAGCGTTCCAGTCAACCCAATGAAAACTTTAAATGATTTCATCTGGTCATATTCACAAACATTTTTTAAAGTGCTTTTTGTATTATTAGAAGTTTTGAACATGCAGTTTGCAACTACTGCTCAAACTAGACTTTGTATGAAGACAAAAAATGTGTGCTATAATAACGATTGCAAGTCATAAGTACTACCTGGATACAGGTAGTACTTATATGGAATAGTACTTACCTGGATACTACCGGGACAGGAGAAGAAGAAGAAGTATAGTTTGTCAATAGAATAACACCTCTACATGACAATTAAGAATCATGCAAACAGGAATCAATATATTTATTGCTTAAGAGTAATTTGTTGCAAGAACACGTTTGATTAAAGAAGTCTACTTTAAGTTTTGATGTTTATTATCAATTTATTTTTCTCTAAATGGTTCTTTTTTACAACTATTGTCTTTCCTCATTTCTATTTCGACGTCAAAAATAAAGAAACTGTAACAAATAAAATTCACTTTTAGTAGAATATCATCTTTTTTAAATAGTCTTTGGCGTTTTAAATAACTAAGAAATAACCATTTAATTCTAATTTAAATAACCATTTAATTCTAATTAGTTTTGAAGTATCTCGAGTTATTGTAGTTGACTGTCACTTTAAATGTCACTTTGCAATTGATAATTTTAACCAAAATTTATAATAAATTTAAAGTTTTTTTTTGTGATCTACATTAACATTAATATTATATTATTTTATTAGTTATTTTTAAGCACGCTTATTTTGAAACGGTTCATGCAAGCGTTTTGAATGATGCTAATTCCTCTAGTTACTTCAAATCTTTTGCTCCCCCCGTCCAATGAAATTTCCATTAGTTTATATGCTTAGGGCAGTACAGTACCTTAATTCGGCCCTGTATATATATGATAGCTTCATTGTTTTAGTTTTACTGAAACATTTTATAATAAAAAGCAGTCAACAATTTCTTGTTGTCATAGTCTACTGATTTTTTAATTGTAATTATTTTACAAGCTTTATTAAACATTTTAGTTTTAATTTTAAGAGTAAATAGATACAAATAAATAAATGTATATACTTTTTATTTTTCTTCGTTATCTTTTACTCTTCATTAGTGTGCCTCTCTCACAACGCTTAAGTTGTGGGTGAAGTTTATATATATATATATATATATATATATATATATATATATATATATATATATATATATATATATATATATATATATATATATATATGTATACATATACATATACATATATATATATATATATATATATATATATATATATATATATATAAATATATACATATATATATATATATATATATATATATATATATATATATATATATATATATATATATATATATATATATATATATATATATATATATATATATATATATATATATATATATATATATATATATATGTATATATATATATATATATATATATGTATATATATATATTAAAAAAGTTTGCATGAAAAGAAGTCTATAGTTGTCTTATCACAAAGCCCCGTAAACGCAATTAAACGTAACTAACATAAACGTAGTCAACATAACGCAACGCATCTTTGTTAGCTTTTAAGCGTTGAGCTGTTTAACAGTAATAAGCGTTAAACTTCTTAATAAGCGTTTGTCAGTAAACAAAATATTTTGCATGATCTAATGAAAAGATAGCAACGTGTAATAATTTGTTTAAAGCTCTTACATGTTATCAAAGAAGCGCAAAAGTTAAAATATGGTGCATTGCTTTTATGTAGACTAAAACCGAATCTAAATGTGTATAGATTCCGTAATTGAATATTTTAAGCATTGCATTCTTTGAACAACAACAAAAAATGTGTTGGGTAAAAAAAAGTGCTACTTGAGTAATGATAAATAAAAAGTATAAATTAAATTTTAATAAAAAATTTTTTTTAAGACATTTGTTTGATACTTTTGCTCTCTCGCAAAAAGCAGGAGAGTATAAATATTCTACAAATGTCTAATCTTTCAGACTTAAAATAAAATAGAACTATGTTAAATTTTTTTTAATTAAGTATCTTAGCGTTCGGATAGTATGGATATAAATCTATGACTCATTGGTTTACGGAGAGATTGATCAGTTTCCAATTGATTTATAGAAAGCCATTTTCCATAAATAATATCATTGCTTACAGATTAATTGACTTGACAACTAAAAAAAAACAAAGTTGTTATTATTCATTGCTTTATGATAAGTATCTAAAATTAAATATTAGTTACATTTATGATAACTTAATAAATCACAGTATTTTTGTAGTATAACTTATTGAATTAATTGAATTCTTAAAAAAAGTTTTGTTATTAACTATCTCTCTACATTTTATATTTTATTTTATGTTCTATATTTAACATTTTGAAATAAGTAGGGGAATCCGCCTACTCATCTCCCCGCTGCATCAAAGTGTCCATTCATTGAATAGACTGATCATGAAAAAAACAAATAATTTTGGGTAATAGGTTACATCAAAAAAATTACACACAGAAGTTTTAGTCAATACACTTGCGTTTTTTTTTTATTTATATACGGAAAAATTGCGAGGACAAGGGTAGGGGAACAACGTTAAAAACTGACTAAACATAAAAAACAATATGTTTAACTAAAAAGAAAAATATTACATTGCAAAAAATACGTTTATTTTATTTGTTATATATTTTTTTTAAATTGTTTGAACCCTAAAGTTGCATGAACATTATGTGTTTTCGTCATGTTGTTCAAGTGTGTTTTCGTCATGTTATTTAAGGAACTTGTGTCTTCTCATAATGGTAGTTGAATAAATTTGGTTTAACATATATTTCCCAGAAAATAATGATCTAGTACCAATACTTTTATTAAATTATCGTCTCTGTCTGTCTGTCTGTCTGTCTGTTTGTTTGTTTGTTTGTTTGTTTGTTTGTCTGTGAGCATCTAACCTTGCAATCAATTTTTGAGTCACTTCCCGATGATTTTCTTCAAATTTTACATACATACTCTTACTTCATGACACTACAATATTAGATAATTTGTTTTTTAATAATTAGTCAAATAATTTAGTTACTTTTAATTTAGTATATTTTTTATATGGAAAAAAGAATATAAATTTTTAAAATAAGTATATTAATTGTTTTCATACTTATTCGCGCGTCTAGCATATATGGATAAGGCGTTGACAACATAAACGGAATTTCTGTGGTTTGAAACCCGCATCCTCATGAACTTTTTTGTTATTTTACATAAAGTCGAATGTTAATAAAATAAAACAGTAATATGAAAAAAAATTGGTTGCAAAATTTGTGTTTTAATAACATATAAAGCATTGTGTTTTAAAAATTCATGTTTAAATTTACTTATTAAGTCTAAACATTTTTACAAAAACTTTAAAAAATTCATGTTTAAATTTTCTTATTAAGTCTAAACATTTTTACAAAAACTTTATTAATACAATAATTAATTCAAAAGGTCGCACGTTAATTTTCAAACTATAAAAAATATCTACACCATAATATTAGTGCATTGAAATACGCCCACGTCTGTATGTCTACGTGTTATAATGCTATAAAGAATCTGTAGAATTAGGCAATTCTTAAGAATTTTAAACGGAGTTAATAATAATGAAATAGTTGCAAAACTGTTTTCCATAACTAGAACTTTAATGTCAACTACATCAACCTAACACCAAAACCCTTTGTAAAATAATGTCAACTACATCAGCCTAGCACCAAAACCCTTTGTAAAATAATATCAACTACATCAACCTAGCACCAAAACCCTTTGTAAAATAATGTCAACTACATCAGCCTAGCACCAAAACCCTTTTTAAGTGATGTTTATTTGTTAAAATTTGAAATGCATTTTATGAATTCCAATGTTATTC